TATTTGTCAAGTTAATTTATATTAAACCGAGTAGTGGTTGGAAAAATCTAACAACTAAAGTAATAGAGGGATTAAAATTAGGAGGGAGGCAAACAAACAGGACGAGTGACATATATTGATGCTAATCTTAATGAGAAAACAAAATTTACCAAGGTAGGTGGGTGTAGTGTAAGAACAAACGGCTTTTTAACACGCAACGTAAGTTTCAACTGGAATATGGCCATCACTTCCGCAAATCTCATTATGCATTCCTGACTGTTTCTATATAAAACTGGAAACTGTTTGAACATTAATTCCGTGAGCTTTTTCTATCATATATTTAACTATATATGAAGAAAGTTGTCTACCATCAGGGCTTATCAAAGTTATACACTCCATTTATTTTTGAAGCTATTTCGATGTGAGTTCTCCCGACCTCAACTGCATGGCTCAACCACGCCTACCTATGTGCTAGTGACAAGTAAATGTGTGATCAAAATGTTCAAAATATATTACGCAAATACATAAAAGGGGCCCAGCTGTTGAAAATTTTTGGAGAGAATGACATATGATATAATCTGGATGATGAAGACATGATGAGGCGGAAATTTGGATGTGATGTGTTTATGGAACATTTAAATTATTGTGGCCACTGAACTTATTCACCGTAGAAAGACAAGAAGTTGGAGGGAGTAATTTTAAGCTGAAAGTGATGAGCTACTTACACATTATCAGTAGTACAAAACTTCTAATTTATTTTCGTCGAATCTGTTTTTTTCCTTACGTCAACAGATGCAGCATCAGGTGAAAAAATTGAAATTAGGCCTATTAGTAAATATAATTCTCATAAAGGAATGAATTTAGCAAAGATTAAATAAATTGACCAACTTCTTTAGACAACTTAAATGACGTAATTCTTCTTTGGCCTAGTTACAAATTCAATTCTGAGGTTTCTGGGGATTTATTGACTTCAGGTAGGTACTTATCATGAGCTGACATCAGTTAGAGGAACACTGGAAACCTGATAGCAATGAACAGTCATTTTGTGGCGGTATCGGACTCCTCAGAAGTTTGCACCCATGACCCCACCAGTGACTAGCTTCGAGAGGTGATTCCAGAAATTCCAGTGAGAAGTCGTGATTTAGTGGAGCCAATCAAGTTGAAGATGAGGACAGTTACTCAACGACGATATTGGATTAGGGGTCACGCTAAATTGTGAAATAAAAGAAGTAGGAAATATGGACCATTGGATTCTCGCCCAGTTGTTCAGTGGTAACTTGCTGGCTATGGAACCTGAAGGTCGTGGGTTCGATCCTTAGAGGGGCGTGGTTGAGGGTGAGCACTGCTGAGGAGATCCATACTAGGATGAAACAGCTATCCAGGGCTCCCAGGTTTCCAGTGTTCCTCCAACTGGTGTCAGTCTATGTTGAATGCCAACCTAATGAGAAATTTCAAACACGGTGACCGTTTTTCGATTGAAATGAATGTGCGATGAATTTCAAGGTAAGTATTGTCAATTAACACCACGTAGCCAAGCATAAGCCCGTGAGGATGTGGTAACATATGCTGGAAGCGAAATCATGGGGTGCCGACCAATTGTTTGAATGGGAATGATCTGACCAAGAAACCTGATGATTCGAATACCATCGCTCACTGGATTGGGAGCGTATACGCTAGAGGAGTTAAAACTTGGGGAGAAACAGCTGATTTGTCGCTGGGAAGCAACCAGTTTCATATTGGTTTCTCACTCGCAACTAGCCAGTGTATGTAACGCATTCCTACAAGGGGTCGTTTGTGTCCGAATATCTCGGTGGGAACGTGGCTGGCCACAACGGAGGGTGACGCAGGTTCGAACCTTGGCGGAAATCTTGTCCGTGGAGGTTTCAGATACGCCTTGCTGACGAGTGTCAACAAGCACGAAATCTCGGTCCTAGGCTTCAGAAGGGGACTGTTATTTAACAATACAGCCATCTGAGGTGTTGTCACCAATAATCAATATGATGCTCCGCCTTTCTAATTCAACTCGATGGGATGAGAAGTTCTGGCTGGGTATCCTTTGTAATCACGATGAAGGGGCAGTTACGTTTCACCGATTCATGTGACAGTCAAGGGAAACCCTCGGTGACTGGAGTTAAGTAACCACTTGATCAGCAGCTGAATCAGACGGTTAGCTTAACAGAGCACTAGGCCAGTACCTCAAACGCCTCTTGTTCGAATCCTGTCATGACCTGGGTTTTCATTTTACTTACAATCATCACCCAGCCTGAAGAAAATGCAAGCCAAATTAAGGCTGCCTCATCAACAATATTTCTTTTTCGTCTCTGTTTTCAGATTGAAAACTATCGAAGTGAATATTGACGTCTTTTGAGAAGCACACTTAAACTTGTACACCTAGAACTGAGAAGTTACTTTTAAGCATAAATGACTAGTTGACGGAATATACTACTGTACAATTTGAGTAGTAGTTAGAAACCACTCAGAGTGATCCATAGTACTTCACTGGATAGATCAGAGTAAACTAAACACTGGAAGGTCATTTCGCTCGTTTGGGGCCAAGCTCATCAGCGGTGTACCAGAACGAATTCGGCTGATAAAGCCAAATTAGTTCAGATCGCCTGAAACAAGATGGCTAACTGACTTACGTGGACCAATTTACCTAAAATAGACTGACCAGTTTGCAAATGGTCTGAAAATTGTACGGTCTATGTTGACACCGATAAAAAAAGGTGTCACGTACTAGCGAAAGATGCAACTGGACAATGTGAATGGTTAAAAGCCAAGCATACGGCTGCTAAGCATTCGTAGCATTGGAAACAAACGACTTTGAAAAGCGTGAATGTGTAAAAATGTGTGTAGACATCAGCATTCTACCACATTCTTCAAATGTTTATTCACTATTCTCGTTTGATTACTGTTTTCTTAGAGCTTTCATGTAGGATAAGCTATCAACTGTTATGTTTAATAACTGTGTTTATAAGACTCCCGGTTTATGATGCTTGGCTTCAAGGTATTTCTTTGTTCACTCAAATAGTAGATCACTTTTAAGCTGGTTAGTTCAATATGGCGGCGTGAAGTGGATCGATTCTTGTGTACCATTGATAAACTCCGCACCAGACGAGTAGAGCAGTCAGTCAATGTTTATATCACTTACATCTGGCTAGCAAACTGGACTGTTGATTGGTCAATGTGATTTCTAACTGCATCTGTCAGTTAATACTGACTATCGTGCAGTTTTCCTATGTTTTGTCGTGCTGATATTCCTCACGTTTGTTGATCAGATCCCACAGGAAACTATGATGGAATCTGACAATTAGCATATGATGAGAATTTTTGAGTGATTTATCTGATCCAAGAGTTCGGTTTTACACTTGGAATATGGACAAAGATAGCTGGATATCGAAAATATGCCTTGACCGCTTCAAACTACTTACTAACATATTGCGTTAGTGTTGTAGTTACAGATATGGTGTGATGAGATCGATTTGTTGATGGTTGACTGTGGTATCGAGGACGTTCACTCTATTCTATTAGGATCTAGTTTGAAGCCAGTACTTAGTTGGATGCGAATACACTTGGATGATGAGTCCTAAACCGGACAAAATGTGCATTTTGTATTTTACTACTAGTCACCACCAAGAATATTATAATGTAATGAGGCCTAGTTGTAACGAAAGTAGATAAGATAGTGATTGGATCAAAGTTTCGCCTAACAACCAAAAAGTAGGGCATTTAAAAAGCCTTTAAAATTTTTTCTATAAAATTTGTTTAAGACAACTGAATCTCTTCAATATCTGTTAGTTATGGAAATTGGTTTGTTTACTTTGGTCAGGATAATGGTCCCATGACTAACGGAGAAGGTCATTCAAAGCGTTTGAATGGTGTCCTTTCTAAGTAACTAAACATCGAACATTTTAGTGAGGTTTCCACTGTGAGAAGTCAAATGAAGTCGTCTAAATGCCTAAAAAATGAGGAGGAGGAGGAGGAACATTGGAGACCTGGAATCACTGGACAGACATTTCATCTTAGTATAGGACTTCTCAACACCCACACGCCCACGACCCTTCAGATTCTCCGGTCAACACGTTGCCTTTGAGCCAGTGGGTCAGAATCGTGTTCTACACTATTTTCATTTAGAGATTGATGTCAGTTGGGAATTCTCTCAAAGTTAGTTGTATTGGGCAACTGTTTCGTTCTACTTCTTCAGCTGGCGCTACTCAGTTCCCTGGAAGATCCACTTAATATTATTACAATCTTTATTGACCATCATAATGAAAAGCCATGATCTTTGGAGTAAACCAACTCAAGAGTGAGGATAGATACCAACTGATCGTGTTGGATGATGTCTGCATTATCCTATTAGCTGAAAAATGTGTAGGATATGGTGAATCATTGTGTTAGTCGATGTTCTGTCTAACTCTAATTAGTATCCATTGATTGACTAAAATACTGAATACAGCAGATAATCAAGGTCAAGTTTATAAATCGTTCAATCATAATTACTATGCTTAATGAATATATGACAAGTTTTAATGTTATTGCTTGTATTACACCGTCGTTGATTGGACCGAATTCATGAGTCTCTGTTGGTATATGGGCTCCTGTGCGGATGCCTCAATATTGTCTGTGTTTTAATCATGTATAGTTATGATGAGCAGTGGCTAGCAGTGGAATTCAGGATGTGCATTTCGTCCTATTTGGGACTCATCAGTCAGCTGGATATACCTGCCTCCTAGTGAGTGATGTTGTTCCCACCAGGATTCAGAAGCAATAACACTAAAGGTACAGCCATCGCACAAAAAGTGGCTATCGTGGCTTGGGGGTGTAGTGGGTAACGCTCTCGCGTCTGAAGCTGACGAGTACCAAATAGGACGAAACGTGCATCCTAGATTCCACTGCTAGCCACTACCCATCATTATATACATATGACAAGTTTCTTGCAATTTACTAGTTAACCAAGTGAGATTATCATTAACTGATTATGAGAGACAACCGTCTGATGGCAATGAAATACACTGACTTACCTCAGTTGCTCTTTTCTCAGTTTCTTCTAATTTTGTATTTGTTTCAACCAGTTGACTTTGAGCAGTCTCTTTATCAGTTTCAATTTGTTGAATCTTTTTCACTACTTCAGCTGCTTCTTCATCTTTAGTTTGCATTTCCAATTCTTTTTCACGTAATTTTGCTTCAAGTTGGTCAGCTCTGTGTTGAAAAAGAAAAATAGTAAATAATTATGATTATTATCCACTGTTCTATTATCATTATTATTATTATTATGTGTCCCTTGGGTTCCTAGTGGAACAGACGGCTTCAGTAGCACATCTACATCCCACTATCTTCTCTCAAATCTTTCCAGTCTGCCTCCACCACTAACCATAACCTCTCACTCTCGCCTCACACAATCTCCTCCATATCACCCTCAACTCGCACACACAACTCGCCGTTTCTCATCCGGCTTCCACTCGAGCAACTGACCTGGTGCATGATCTCCCGAATGGTCTTCTCACTGCATACCCAATACAATCCATCTCCACTCCCTTCCACTGCATATTTGTTGAGTGATAGGTTCCTGCTTCGTTGATTCGTTACCAGCCAACCAGCCAGCCAGCCAGAGTTCCTTCTTCCTTATGCTTATCATTCTGGCCTTCTCATCTGATCTTCAGTAAGGAGACAACGTAGGAGGCAGTTGTTGATCAGTGTGTGTACTTTGTTGGGAATGCTTTTCGTAACACGCCAAGTATCTCAACAATCATATAGAAGCAGTGACTTGACTGACGTTGGTGTTGGTGTTGGTGTTGAGAATCCGGATGTTGTTCACGCTTTATGCTGAGTGGAGTGCAGAAGATGTCCACATTGGTTTCAGACTAATGAAAGCCTGTCTTGCCATCTTTCCGATCCTGACTTTGACATCCTCGTCTTTGCCACCTGCCTAGATAGTTCAAGGAGGCTACTTCCTTCAAGTTTCTCCCCGTTGATGGTGATGGGTGCTTGTTGTTGATGCTGTTGTTGTTTGGGTACCATCATCACCTCTGTCACTTTGTTCTCTACGTTCACTTGAAGGAAGTCTCGTCTTCGCTGCCCTTCACTGCTCTGCCTGTCCATCCAGCATATCCCTCTCTTCTCGCTCCTCACTGTTTGTTGCATGATCCAGTCCACTACAATCAGGAATATCATGAGTGATAGTAGGCGGCAGCCTTGTTTTACTCCTGTCTTTACTTCAGAGGCATCACTGAGCTTCCCATTGTAAATTACTTGGCATATGGCGTCTTCACATAGTCTATAGGCGAAAGTTATCAACCTTTCAGTACTTTAGTAGTATCGAAGAAAATGGGTTTGAAATCTTCATTACTGGATAAGATTAGTCAATTTCTTCCAATGGGAAGCTGACTGATGAAATGTATTTTTAAATTTTGTCGTGGACTTCTCAACAAAGATCTTGGTGATATCCTCAATACTAACTTCATAAAGACACCATTTGAAATAAACACAGAAAAACAAACAGCAGCAACCGGTCATCCATATTGTAGCTTAAATAAACTCAGAAACGATATGCACATTCATGCATTAGGCAGCCATGCACCACACCTAATGTTACCTACACTAACTGAGTGCACAGGCAACGGTAGGTAGTATGAAGTTTGAACCGATGGGCTACTGGTTGAAAATCGAGTGCCTAAAACAATCAGCCGCAGCTCCTCCATCTGTATACTAGTAAACACTTTCCAGTGTCTTTACTCTGAGTATATTAAGAGAATCAGATTATAAAGTAAAATGTACTACGAAATTGTAGAAGACATCTCACCAAGATACTTTGTCACATTAGACATCTAATCCCTGGAAACTGCCATATCATTATCCTTAGAAGTGAAGAGTTCAGTTGCTTTCCCGAATTCATTCTATTAGTCTATGTTACTTACACTAAAAATCTATGACTAAATGAATGGTTATCCACCATTTTTGTCTGTTATACGCCTACTCCATACATCAATTCACATCTCTTTTTATTTCTTAACAATCTAAAATGATCCATTATTCATTCTAAAACATAGTAACTATCTACTTTATTTCCAGTCAACTAGTCCCAAACATTACATGAATATAAATAAAACGTTTAGATTTAATAAATGAATCACATTGAACATTCATTTGTTTTAATGCACCAATACAAAATTTAAACTGATGCCCGGTGAATATGAAACAGTCACATGCATCTGTATTCAGTAGTGAAATATCAACATTCAGTTTGATTTACTTTGGTTATATCAATCCATTTGAGCTTATCGGTTTACATTTTTATCGATTAAGTGTAATGATTGTGTATATATGAGCTATGCAAAAATGAGAATGATTTTTCAATGAAAAGTACTTTGTTGTACACTAGATTCTCTTCAAAGCTTTCAATCTTTAACAATTGAATGATGAATATGGTTTTCATGTAATCCAACAGTTATCGATATTGAGAATATACAGTAATTAATTAGCATACTTAACAAGTTATTTTTGTTGTCAAATTCGAATCATTTCTTTGTCTGAAACCTGTTGAAACATTTTTCAAATTTCTCTGGAAATAGACTATGAATTTTTATAAGAAGCATTACAGAATAGTCGATGAAACAGGAAATATACTCAGCAGATACAAACACATTCGTGAAGTGGGCGATGAGCCTCACCTATTGTACTGAAGGCTAGTGATACTATCGAACAGTCTAGTTCCCAGTAAGTGGAGTAAGTGAGTTTCGAACTACTGACATATTGGTTGAAAGTTAACTGAGCAAACCAGTGAGCCATAGTAATACACCTTTATTGTCTCGACAGTACAGTCGCATTTCATCATTTCATACTAATGATAACAATAACAAGTGATACCTTTAAGCAGAAAAAGGTGGCTATGGTGACTAAACTAGCCAAGAGAAAAAAGGTTAAGCATTTGAAGTTACACTTTGAAAAGGCTTTCGACAGCGTCAACCGGGAAGTAATTTGGCAGGTAGTTCCTTCAACACTACGGATTACCACAAACATTTATCAACCTCATTCAGCAACTATACGAAGACGCCACATGCCAATTAATTCACAATGGGAAGCTCAGTGATGCCTCTGAAGTAAAAACAGGAGTAAAACAAGGCTGCCGCCTACTATCACCCATGATCCTCCTGATTGTGGTCGACTGGATCATGCAACAAACAGTGAGGAGCGAGAAGAGAGGGATATGCTGGATGGAGGGGTGAAAAGATCCTAGAAGATTTGGATTTCGCCTATGATGACTTATGTATGATGTCACACAAACTAGAAGATCTACAGGCGAAAACTAACACGTTGACAGAAGAGGCAGAGCAGTGCAGGCCAGCGAGGGGAGACGAGACTTTAAGTGAACGTAGAGAAGAAGGTGACAGAGGTGATGATGATACCCAAACAACAACAGCATCAACAACAAGCACCCATCACCATCAACGGGGAGAAACTTAAAGGAAGTAGTCCCCTTCAACTATCTAGGCAGCATCGTTTCAACTACAAGTGGCACAGGCACAGACGACGACGTCAAAGCCAGCCACTATCAGAAGGACAGCAAGACAGGCTTTCATTAGTTTGAAACCAATGTGGAGATCTTCTGCACTCCACTCAACATAAGGCGTGAACAACATCCGGATTCTCAACACCAACACCAACACCAACGTCAGTCAAGTCACTGCTTCTATATGATTGTTGAGATACTTGGCGTGTTACGAAAAGCATTCCCAACAAAGTACACACACTGATCAACAACTGCCTCCTACGTTGTCTCCTTACTGAAGATCAGATGAGAAGGCCAGAATGATAAGCATAAGGAAGAAGGAACTCTGGCTGGCTGGCTGGTTGGCTGGTAACGAATCAACGAAGCAGGAACCTATCACTCAACAAATATGCAGTGGAAGGGAGTGGAGATGGATTGTATTGGGTATGCAGTGAGAAGACCATTCGGGGAGATCATGCACCAGGTCAGTTGCTCGAGTGGAAGCCGGATGAGAAACGGCGAGTTGTGTGTGCGAGTTGAGGGTGATATGGAGGAGATTGTGTGAGGCGAGAGTGAGAGGTTATGGTTAGTGGTGGAGGCAGACTGGAAAGATTTGAGAGAAGATAGTGGGATGTAGATGTGCTACTGAAGCCGTCTGTTCCACTAGGAACCCAAGGGACAAATAATAATGATAATAATCATGTAGATTTTTTGTTGAGTATGATAAGATAAATTATCTAGTTTTACCATTTTTTACGTGTATTTACAAGTTTGTGTATTCCTATGGAGAAAGCTATATTGGACATACTAATAGACAACTTGACAGACGTGTTGTTAAGTATCTACTTTCACCGTTGGGATAGAGACAGATGAAATCCATCAGATGTTCTCTTTTATCTCATGTCATCTCGTTGATAGTGGTCACTTGATAGATAAGAACTATGGTCTCCGAATACGATTTCATCTTTCGAAAGGTAGTCCAACTCATCTTTCACACTACATTGTAGAAGCAATGGTTATTCGATATACTTATCCTGCGGTTTGTATCCAGAAAAAATTTCTGCATCCTTTATCTTTCCCTTGGTCAGGCAATACCGAAATTCTTTTATTACCTACTTACTCATCTGTTTCATATACTCACTATGTTTGTTTGGACTTTGTTTACCCACTTACTTCATCCTTCGCTGTTACATAACTTTTATTTTCCTAAGCTTTTGATCCACTTTTATTATCGGAGTCTCTACATTTTCATGATACTTTCTTGGCTCCTACCATCATTATCATCTATATTACGACTATCAAAGTTCCATTTTAGTCTGTTTATTAGAGATATCACACAGTGAAGAAACAGTATCAACTAGGTTTAGTTAAATGCATATGTGATAGGGAGAGAAAAACTTACTAGAAGACCAGAAAATCTATGAGAAGAAATTAGACACATCAAGAATACCTTACATGTCTTGATAATTACCTACCCACACTTATAAACAAACTCATGAGAAATCGAAAGGAAAATATAAGCAGTGGTACTAGTAGTAGTAGTAGTAGTAGTAGTAGTAGTAGTAGTAGTAGTAGTAGTAGTAGTAGTAGTAGTAGTAGTAGTAATTGTAGTAGTAGTAGTAATAGTAGTGGTAGTAATGCACTTGTTATTAATAATAATTCTACTACTACTGGTGATAATGGTGACAGAGTTGAGAGACAATTCAAAGCCTCTACTGTGTTACTGTACAAGGAAGGCACCTCAGAAGCATTGCGAATAATTCTCAATAACACCGGCTGCGATTAAAATGGGATTTAAACCAGCAAACTCGCTTAGAAACAAGCTTACTAAGTTAAAAGATCCTATTGATGCAACTAAACAGAATAATTTAGTTTACTAAGTCGCTTGAAATGAGGTCAAAATACAAAGGTAAAAGTAGTCAACCAAAATCGATTACAATAACAGAGTGAAAAAAACTTAGCTCAATCAAGATTAGTAGATCCTAATAAGATAAGAAATTTAGAGAAAAGCTCTGCTACGGCTCTGCACTCAATTACATATAATAACATTTTAGGATGGGATAGAGAGACAGAGTTAAAAGCGAACTTAGTTCGGTGGCGGGGAGGGAGAGGTTGATAACCGAATCTTTTCATCACAGAGATTGTGGAGTTGGTTACCCTGATATGAATATGGGCAATAAATTGTATCCAAAACGTACACTAACCAGTAAATGATAATGTTCCTTCATTGTGTGACATTCCTAATAAACAGACTAAAGCTGAATTACAGTCTACCACAGTGCTCAAGTTTTACTCCTATATTACTGTCAACGTTATCAATGTTGTTATCTCCATCCTTATTCTTGAAACATTCATCACGTACTAACCGACAAATCTACATTGGCTGGTTTACCTTTTTATATATATTAACCTATTCGTTTATTTTATTTGTTCTCATATACTACGCCGGGATTACACAAGTAAAAATACATTCTATACAATATATTAATCTATTTGTATTGGAGTGAGTGAAGCCTGAAGAGGATCTAATTGGAAAAAATACTGTTCGCTTATATATGTCTTGCTCTAATTTACATGATGGGAATTTCGAAAACTCTTAACTTAGTAACTGTTACTGGTATCCTCCTAGTGTATGCCAATGGTTTTGATGTATTTATTGTACATTGAATATTCTTGATCCTAACTATCACTTGTGTTGTCTAATTGACTGTACGAATTAAGCATCACAATACTATGTAGGGCAAAGAGTGTAGAAACTTCGATTGGTTATCTAACTCCTAAACATTAGACTATTGTAACATGATTTCTGAAGGATTCGGACCAGACTTATAAGTGAACAATATTGTTTTCAGTTAGATCCTATTCAGGCTTCACTTACTCTAATACAAATAGCTTAATATATATAAAAAGGAAAACCAGCTATGTAGATTTGTCGGTTAGTGCGTGATGAATGTTTTAAGAATAACGATGGTGATGTAGCCTCCCCTCTCCCGCATACCAATTTTCACTCGGACGATGCATAAGTACGGCTTACTGGTTGAAGAAGATAGACAACAGTGAAACGTCTGTGTGTTTGACTGTAAGATGAGAACAGCAAGTCTGTATTTACGCAGAAGATAGCTAGGTATTTATCTGAACATGAAAACAATTCTCCCACTGATGAAGTCTGGTGTCAGCAACATTCTGTATGTGATGTAGGAACAGTGGAAAGACAACTGATTACTTACAAGGAGTGCTTACTAAAAGTCGATGAATTTCTGCATCCTCATTGGTAAAACAGATTGTTGCGAGAAGACTTATTGTAGGCGTGTCACTCATCCACTCAACTTATAACTATACACCTCCGACAATACTTGAAATGACCAGTTGGGAAACAGTGAACAGTGTGAAAGCTGTTGGCATGACGTTCACAAGACAACAAAGTGGTGTTGCCTGATGCTACATTTCACTCATTCAACATTTCTTACATCTAAACAAGCATCATCCAATCTCATAATTACTTGCATCTTTTGCCATTGAACTGAGGGACCTGACCAGAGACAATAGTGACAGAACATCACTTGTAGAGATATCTTGTCTTCAAAACACAAGTGTTTCACAGCACTCCAATTGAGATACTTGTACCAATCTCTTGTGTTTCGAATCTTCAACAATCAAGTACACGTCGACAAGCACCTACATACTTCTCAGTTTTCTATCTGTATGACATTCTGACCTCCACAACTAAGTCACAATATGGTCATTATGGTCAACAATTTCATGGTCTAAATTAGAGCAAGACATATATAAGCGAACAGTATTTTTTCCAATTAGATCCTCTTCAGGCTTCACTTACTCTAATAAGAATAGCTTGATATATATATATATATATATATATATATATATATATATATATATATAAAGGTAAACCAGCCAATGTAGATTTGTCGGTTAATGCGTGATGAATGTTTTAAGGATAACAATGGTGATTATACTACAAACAACAATAATGATAACGTTGACTAAAAAACTTGCCATATTAATGAGGATAATGACGATGATAAGAACCAAGAAAGCAGGATGAAAATGTCAACACTGTGATAATAAAAGTAGGTCACGTCGAAAGCTTGGCAAAATAAAATTTACGTATTACTGAAGGATGAAGTAAGTGGATAAACAAAGTCTAAACAAATCTAGTAAATGTATGAAAGCGGTAGGAAAAAATTTCATGTATGAAAGTTATGAATTAATTATTTCCTGACTAACAGAGAGATTAGGGATGTACAGAATGCCTCTGGACACAAAGACTAAGATTACTAGCTGGAATTCTCACAACTTACGTTGTATGTGTGTAAAAAATGACTTCGAATACCTTTCGGAAGATGAGGTGGTACACACGGAATAATCTTGACAGCATTGTTCTTTCTTATCTACCAAGTGACCACTATCAACGAGGTGAAATGGAATAAAACCGAACTTCTGATGAATTTTATCTCTCCGTTTCCTAACCATGAAGGTAGATGCTCAGCAACCCATCTGTTAAGTTGTCTAGTAGTAGGCCCCATATAGCCTTCTCCACGGGAACAACTAATCTGATGGGTTGACAAGGTAACCATCTCACACACACACACACACACATCATATAGTATAGGGATGAATATACGTACCAAAAGGTATACAGAAAAAAGGCAATAACGTAAGTCAGTCCTACTCTAAAAAACTTACTCATCAACAGCATTCTCCTTGTCCAATTTCATTGCCAACATTTTCTTCTTTATATGCTCCATAATGACTTGTTACAATCGAAAAATTAAACGGAACTTAATTGAAAAATCTCAGTGAAACTGTTTAACTATTAGTTGGTTAAAGCAGTTAATGCTTTTACAGAACTGAGAAAATGTTTCATAGCCTACCATCTTTTTAACTATATTTACCATCCACCCACTCATTTTCCACTAGGAAACACACATTTTCTGCTACACCCTAGTCTTGATAATCACAAAAGAATAAAATCTAACCAATAATAATGTGAATTCGATAATCAATAAAAAAAACAGTTTCTGCCCATTTCACATTGATATTGTACATTTTGGTAACACATAACAGTACACTATGGATTCCTTACTTTCCCTGGTTATTTTATTGATTATTGAACGGTAGATCTGTGCAGATTGTATGAGTGTTGTGGAAATAGTTTGAAAGTTATCGGATAAATACAAATAGTCCTATCATATGTGACTTTAAGGGAAAAAAGATGATGATAATAATGAAAATATAATGGGAGTAATATTAGTTTATGTGTGTTTATGATTTGTGTAAGTTTGTCAGGCCAAATTCATTTAGTGTTGTGGAGCTCGTTCTATGAAACTCCTGTCCAAAAATATTTAAGAGCATTGCCCTGCATATCTGTGAAGAAAATTTTTCTCCCTTGAATTCCTGATGGAATATAAAGCTTCAGTAGCATGTCTCCATTGTACTCTGTTCTCTGCAGTCTTCCAAACCTGGCTCTACGACTGCTCACAACCTCTCATTTCTTCCTCACATCATCTCCTCCATGTTACCCTCACCTCTGACGCAAAACTCGTCTCTTCCCATCTGGGTTCGACTAAACAGACTGGAGTGGATGTCACCAGTTGGCCTTCTCAATGTATGCTTAATCCATCTCCACTTCCTTCCAGCGCATATCTGTTCAGCGACAGGTTCTTGCTTCGTTGGTTTGTTACCAGCTAGCCAGAGTTCCTTCTTGCTTATTCTTTCTGGCTACCTGATCTTCAGTATCAAGCTAGCGTGGACGGTAGCTGTTGATGAATGTCTGTAGTTTGTTGGAAATACTTTTTGTGACACGCCAAGTTTCTGAACTGTGAAGAAATGGTAATGAAAACTTTGTCATTACCGGTTAAACAATTTCGACAACTTTTTGTTTCAAAGTTAACCATAGAGAAGAAACCAACTTATCGAAGGCAGTATGCCTTCTTCTCTTTTGTACTGATGAAGTTTTAACTATTCATCAGGTAGAACATCTACATCTATGTATACCAAAGAGACTAGTTTAACGTATTCTCATAGAAGCCGGGTAAAACCAATGGTGTAAGAACAAAAGCTTTAGCAGAATAGTATGAATCCACTTTATTTCGCGGTTTATCATCAGCTGTACACAAACTACAACAATTTTAACATCAGTTTGCAAAAGTAAATGCATACTTGAATTAGTTTGAAGTTATATGTCAGCATTTTGATCTTCTGCCTTTACCCAAAGAAGAATTCAAGCATCAACGTTGTATATTGTCAAGCCGATGGAGTTGAGATATGCAGTACGTTAAATCATATACTACTAGGTGATATATTTATGGGGAAGTTTGAAAGTACAAATATGAAGTGACTGATGAGACAACCTTCTACATTGGGTATGCTGATGATACATTCCATGTTGGCAATAACCTGAAACATGTTCCATTTTTATTGATTGATTAGATTTATCACACAATGAAGGAACAGTATTGTTTACTGGATAACGCGTTTATAACATAATTTATTGTTCATAGTCATCATATCAAGATAACTACACAATTTTGAGATATCCTTTATATAGTTCTAATTTCCTCGTTCCTTTTGTGAGATGGGTATTAAGATTTTCTGTATGTCCGGAACAGGTGTTGAGTCATTCCTGTTACTACATGTATTCGGTATTGATTCGATAAACAAACATTGAGTTATCAATCTTTCGCTTCACCCTGTTATGTTAGTTTTTAAGAATTTTTACCCAGTCCCATTCTATTGTGTGGTTGTGTGTAATCACATGCATAGCTATGATTTAGCGTCCCTTTTCTAAATTCCTTATCTTACTTGGTTGGATCTATCAATTTTGACCGAGTTAGGTTTTTGTGTTCCGGTAGCCTAATTGACCCTGGTCGACTACTTTGACTAACCTATGTATTTGACCTCGCAATCGTTGCAAAGGATTTGGTAAACTAAGTTATTCTGCTTAATTGGGTCAATAGGATCTTTTAACCTACAAAGCTTATTTCGAAGTGAGTTTGTAGGTTTAAACGCCAATCTAATCCCAGTAGCCTTATTGAGAATTCAACGTAGCGTTTTTGAGGTGCCTTCTTTGTATGGTAATACTGTGGAGGTCTTGGTTGTATTGTGTTCTCTGAGCCGGGTTGTTTAATCATGAAGCTTTTATCGTCTTACTAGACAGTGACATCGTCAGCACTAACTTCACTACGAAGTGACCTGTCAATATCTCTCCGTGAGTCATTTAGTAGCTTGCCTTGACCATGTGGTCTGTGATTGGTTGTTTCCTTCGACTGTTGTGTCATTGATTGTATAGACTTTCCTGTTGACTGTTCATCTGCTTCACCTCTGACCTTTCCGTCGTTTATCATTTTTCTTCTTGGTTGATACATTAGGTCTAGGTCCATACATCTATTGATTGCTGACTGACCTGAACACCAAGCTTCTAGAAATTCTCTGATGACATTCTTTGTGTTTCCTTTGTCGAAAATTTCTACATTGTCGAAATTGAATTCATGTCCATAATTGTTAACCACGTGCATTGAAATGAGTGATGAAATGTCGTGACGTTTAATAGCCAATTGGTGTTCATTTAGACGAATGCGAAGAGGACGGCCACTTTGTCCAATGTGATGTGTTGACTACAGTTATTCCAGTTGATTTTGTAAATGATATTCGGTTTGTCTTTGGTCTTTACTTGTTGCTTCCTTTGGTCTGCATAATAGTGTTTGGTGGGAATTTGTTGGTTGATGAGTGGCCACACCAATTCCACCAAGTGGTCTCAGAAATCTTGTTGTGATTTCTGATACATTCTTTATGTATGGTAGGACGATGCGTTTGTTGATTTCTGTCGATGACTTTGTAGTTGGTGATGCACGGGACTGGCATCTTCTGATAAAGATTCGTGGGTAGCCGTTCTTCTTTAGGGTGGACATCAAGTAATTTTCTTCTTTTCTCTGTGAAGTTGTTGTGCTGCTCTTTTGAATAGAGTCTGCACACAACTGATTTTGTGTGTTGCTGGGTTGTTGCTATTGTAGTTGAGGATTCGGTCAGTGTGTGTTGACTTCCTGTACACTGGGGTTTCCAGTTTCCCGGTATTTGTCCTACTGATTAAAACATCGAGGAATGGTAGTTGGTTGTTTGACTCTTTCTCCATTGTAAATTCTCTGTTCACAGTATTGCCGCTACTATTATTAACATGATCATCAACACTATTATTACTACTAATAATAACTGTGTTACTGATATTTTTCTTACAATTCCTAAGGAGCTTATCAATTAATTTGGGAGGGTAATTTTTCATAATGAAGGCGTCTTCAATGTATCTGGTTTCTTGTTTCAGATCTGTTTTAATAGTAAGTTGTTTGGCCCTGTTACTTAGACACTTAACTAAGCCAACTTTAACTGACTGGTATAGGGTGAGACGGTTTGAAGTCTATGTAACGGTTTGAATGTGAAGGTTTTCTGTAGACACTAGTGCGTCTAAACTCCCATCTTGTTCCCCTTTTTATTCCGCAATCTAACATCGCTAATTCTCCTTCTCTATTTTCTAATTGAATTGTGTCAACTACTGAATTTCTATGTGTGAAGAAATTATGTATGCGCTCTGGTTTCAACACTTTAAACGTGTTGTCTACATATCGAAACCATGTTCTAGGAGCAGGACTTAATTCTTCTACAGCCATCCTTTCCCAACAATCCATAAATCTGTCAACTACAATAGGGGATATTGGTGATCCCATGGCAGCTCCTTCTGTTTGTTTGTATATTTTATTCTAATACCTTAGGATTATGGAAGTTAGGCATAGCTGTACTCTTAGCATGATATCATCTGCTGGTATCTTAGTTCGTAGTGTAAGCTCATGGTTATTATTAAGCTCATTTCTAAGTGCTTCCAGGGATATATCAGTCAGTATATTGGTATAAAGACTAACTACATGAAAAATAACCATTTTTTCATTGTCATCTAATTTGTGCTTCAAGTCATAACACTTAGTAAGTCTTGATTTAGAACAGTTTCTAACTGGGTTGAGTACCATCGCTAAGTGTTTAGATAAGTCAAATTAGGGGTGTTTCTAAAGTCTACTATAGGTCTTATAGGATAACCTGGTTTATGAATTTCAGTAGTATCATAAATCCTACTGGGATTAATAGTTTTCGGCATTAAATTAAATCATTTAGACTCACTTAGAAACGGTTTTATTCGACGTATTAGATCTACTGTGGTTCTTTTAACTTTATTCATGATAATGTCCATTGATTTCTTCGTTTCTTCATAAGGTCCTGTTTCTATATGCTCCTTGACTTTCTGGATATAACCAGACTTCTTTAATACTACTGTTGAGTTACCTTTGTCCAATTTAGCAATTACTATATCCTTGTCATTTTGAAGGTTCTTTAAAGTTTCTTTTCTGCTTTTGGTAAATTTTGTTTTGTCTTTTTCTGTCGCTTAAGTGTTAGAGCACATTGCGCTCGAACTTCATCTGCTACTGTCTTATCTACTGAACTTAATGCGATTTCTCTTCTAGAACTGACATCTTCAGGTTTCAATTCACTAACTACTACATTGTAGTTAAGTCCCTTCTCTAGTACCTTTACTTCTGTTGAGCTAAAAAACCTTAGTTGAAAGATTGATAACTCACTTCGTTTTATCGTTGGTTGACAATGTGTTGTCGGGAATTTCATTATGTTCTGTTGGATACTTTTCTTCCATTAGGTTATTAAACTTCTTTATTTGAGTATTTTTGGATTTTTTGGAGGCAGCTGATCTCGCTCTGTTGAAGTTATCAGTCAGAAGTTCATAATCTTTCTCATTAACTGTTTCTTTCAGTCTACCGATGTTGTGTAACTTCTTGACTATCTTATAAATTTCTTCTTTTACACAGAGTTT